GCCTTCCAGGGGGAAGCATGTTCCAGGCAGAGGGAACAGCCAGTGCAAAGGCCCTGAGGCAGGCGTGTGTCTGGGTGTTTAAGGAACAGCAAGGACCAGCCGGTGCAAAGGCCCTGAGGCAGGCGTGTCTGGCCTGGTGGAGGGGAGGCCTCATAAGCCTGTGCTCACATCTCCTTCCCCCTCCAGGGCAAAGGCGTGTGGGAGAAGACCCGGCTGGCCCTGGAGGCCGAGGTGTCCGAGCTGCGGGCGGAGCTGAGCAGCCTGCAGACTGCCCGCCAGGAGGGCGAGCAGCGGCGGCGGCGCCTGGAGTCACAGCTGCAGGAGGTGCAGGGCCGGGCCGGCGACGGGACTGAAGCCCAGATGGTTCACACTCCTCCCCTCCCTCAGTTTTTACTCTGATGTTATGTTCTTATAGAATCCCTCGAGGGCCTCTTTACTTAAAATCACAACCTTCCCAGGTCCCCTGATGTCCCTTTTCCCGTTCATCTGGGTCCCACAGCACTTACCGCCCTGACATGTATTACAAAGGCATTTATATTGTTTACTCTCTGCCTCTCCCGCTCAAACAAGAGCCCCCAGGGAAGGCAGCAGTGGCTGTTTTGTTCGCGGTGGGGTCCCCAGTACCAACCATTCTTGGAACATAGTACACACTCAATTAACGCTTGTTGAATGAAAGATGGACGGAGGTCATGGACCAATGGGGAAAGAGCCCCAGGAAGATGGGCTGGCCTAGATCCAGCCAGGGCTACCTCCTCCCACCCAGTGTCCTGCCCTGCCTTGTCCCCTCCCCCGCCCCCCTGCCCCGACCCACCCTCCGGGCCTGCTCCAGCTGTTCCGCCAGCTCCCCCAGGGCCTGGCCGTGCCGCTGCCTCAGCTCCTGCACGGCCACCTCGTGGACGCGGGTCTCCTCCTCCAGAGCCTTCTTCAACTCCGTCACCTCCTGCTCCCTCTTGGACCTTTCATGGGGGAAAGGGAGGGAAACAGAATTTCCTGATAGAGGAAGGCAGGGGCTTTGGGGGAGAGCTGGTTTGCTTCCTTGTTTCCTCCAAAAACGAGGACCTCACTCTCCAGTCCCCAAGGGACCTGAGCAGTGACGCTGTGGAAGGCCAAGGCTTTAAGGGTGAACTCCTACGTACCTTTCAAAACCCTATTCAAAAGGCCCCTCCCTCAGGGAAGTCTTCCTGGACCTCCTCCTCCCATAGACTTGTTTAGGGGCCTTGTCTTGTCGCCCAGAGTGCCTGCGTCACCCCATCAGAGTACCCCTTGCTTGGGATTAGGCCTGTCCTTGCCAGAATCTTCTTTCTCCAAGACTGGGTGCTCCCGAGGGTAACCCCTGGGTCCGGCCCACCCCCGTCTCTGGCTTGTTTACGGGATGGGTGACAATTGTGAAAGGACTAGACCTCTGCGTAGACGGAGGCCCCACACCGGCCCCTCCTCCCGGCCCGCGCGCCGGCCTCACCGCAGCTCCTGCTGCGCGTTGGTGGAGTCCAGCGTGTCCTCCAGCTCGCCCCGCAGCGCCTCCAGCTCCTCGCCCAGGTCGCGGCGCTGCTTCTCCGCCTTGGCCCTGGCCGCGCGCTCGGCCTCCAGGTCCTCCTGGGCCTCAGCCAGGGCCGCCTGCGCCTCCCGCAGGGACTTGAGCATCTGGGCCCGGGCCCCGCCCTCGTCTTCTGCCCTGCAGGGGACAAGGACCACGGAGTTGGTGCAGGGGCAGGGGAGGCGACTTCTGGGGGCCGAAAGGCCAGACGTGAGTTTTGGGGAGTGGCCAGTCTCAGGTTCGAATCCCGGCTCTGCCACCTGGCATGTGACTCCGGTACTTACAGCCTCAGTTTTTCTTAGCTGTAAAATGGGAATAACATCAACAGCCACCATAGGCGATGCTTACTGAGCCCCTGCCACTCGCAAGCCCCTCTCTTGCATTGCCGCGTCCGTCTACAGCTGCTGAGGCCCGGATCGGGGAACGTGGTTGCCCGGGTCGCGTGGCTGGCCAGGTCCCTCCTCGTAACCCGATGGGACACGGCTCTTGCCCCTCCCTTCAGTGTCACTGCAAAGAGGAGCTGAGCCGGGGGCAGCACCAACTGGGGGCCATCGCTCAGCGAGCCACGCGGGCCTGGCCTATGTCCCAGACTGTGCTCGAAGTGACAACCAAACCTCCACCCCACAGTGGTGGCCGCGGACGGCAATAAAAATAATAACTAGAGTGTAAAAGGCTGCACGCTGTCCGATTCCACTTTAGTGAAATATCCCAAATCGGCAAATCCTGTTTGGACAGAGAGCAGATTGGTGGCAGCCTGGGCTGAGGGTGGCGGTCAGCGAGCGACTGCCTACGAGGTACAGGGCTTCCCTTTGGGTGAAAATGTTCTGGAACTAGATAGAGGTGCTGGCCGCACAGCACTGTGAATGGGCTAAATCCCCTGAATCGCACGCCTCAAAATGGTTGATTTTATGTGAATTTTGCCTCAACACAAAAAGAAAAAAAATGAAAATAATTAACAATAGTAATAAAGAAAATTAGTAACAAAAACACCCAACATTTATTGAGAGATTAGGGTATGTCAGAGCTTTCAGTTTTTTTTTTTCCAACAGAGTCTCGATTTGTTGCCCAGGCTAGAGTGAGTGCCGTGGCATCAGACTAGCTCACAGCAACCTCAAACTCCTGGGCTCAAGCGATCCTCCTGCCTCAGCCTCCCGAGTAGCTGGGACTACAGGCA